ATCATCCGTATGAAATACTATCTTTTGATGCATTGCTTATGATGCTTGAATGATGTTATAAACCAGCACTGACCTGTAATATTTATGATATATACATCTTAATACCTATACGCTTCATGTCTGCTTTCCAAGTTGAAACTAAATATCGAAAAGGCATCAATTTAGTTAATGTAGTTGCAGTTGAGAGATTTCGAAGAGAAGTGACGGAAGTAACACGGCACACTGAGGGGCAGAGTTCGTTGTATTCTAGTAAACATCGACATACCCAGTAACCACCAGATACCGGAATAATATAGCTTTGGAATAGAAGTCGGTGATCCCTTCTCATCCGGAACACTACATTCGACTGAGTACTTAAAGAGGTGTCCGGTCATGGATTTGACAACTGCTTATCGATATCATAATCCTAATTTGAATATGGTGGATTTTTACCATTCCTGTAAAAGTAAGTCACTGTTGTACCCGTGGATTGGTTGTATTATCATTTACACCTGATCATTGGTGTTCAATACAGGTACGAGAGACCGTGGTTAGTGAACCTCGGTCCTTAATGATAAATTGTTGATTATTTTGTTTATTAGAATGTATATGCAACATACGTGGCCGTACATTGCTAGTTAGCTTATAAAATGATATTGGTGTTATGATACTGTACCGTACTCCAGATCTCTCACCCGTAAAACAGCCCTCACTAAAACGAGTATGCGTATCCACATATTAACGGATCAGGTTGCTGGCTCCATTTCGTGCCCATTGCAGTAATAATTTCAACGGACTAACGCGCACCAAATTAACCTGATAACAACCCAGCAGTTCCATGGGCCTTGTAGTGGATCGCTAGTCAACCATTGGCAGGGTGACCCGACAATGTTGACTGTCATGATTGTGGTACCCGCCCGGAACCATTTCTGAACATCTTGCATCACGCCATCCGAGCACTGTCGGACCCATGGCTCGGATCAGAGCACAGGAGAACCTAAGTAGTCCATTTATTGTCCCACTGTGAAAATCTATTACAACTACCATAACACGGGCCTACACGCCTCACCAACAGAGTTTGTATATATCAATCTAAAACCAAGACTCCAAATCCCACATAGAGTAGCTAACTCGATCTGTTCTGGTGTTAAAACTTAAATAGCTCACTGATGTCTTCATCATTCTTATTATTTACAAGGACTGTCAAGCGCTAAGTGTGGTAAGTGTTCATATATCGTTCATTTAAGATGGAAGAGTAAATTCTCACAGAAAGTGTTAGATATGTAAATCATCTGCATTGATCTGTTATTTCACCTGTACAGAAAGGAATGAATTGTTATAATTGTACAAGTCTTTTTTTCTATCGAAGACCTGAACATTGTACTGGATTGTACTTGGTCATTATTTGGTAGTTTTTACCTGCTGTCCACTCCTTTAATGGGGTCTTTGTTCCCATCCAGGAACATGTACCTTGATCACGTGTATACATATACATCATACGACAATGTTATCAGCCATACAGATTGAATTTTTCGATTTGATGGTGTTACTTGCCATAAAGTAAAGTGCAGGTATAGCCAGGTAAAATGGTGGTGCGCTGTTTCTTGATGCTCTCGACTAGGTTGATGGAGAACACTCTGTTAGTGTCACTCGTATAGATCAAGGCTACTTTCTCTTTGTACACAATTGATGAATATCTCGCCCAAAGCACGGACATCAATTTTCTCACCTGCTGTCAGAGGTTTTCGTGAAAAATATCCGCCATAGCTTATCAGGGATCTTATAGAAATCTTAACTTTAAGTACTTAAAGTTTGTTTTTGGTGATCAGAAAAGGAAACCTGCTGTGGTATTGTGATTTTATTAAGAGCATCTTTGATTGGTACAGGGCGATCCCACGGCCCGGACTCTGCTAGTCTTTACACTCACCGTTCTCCGCGGACGACACGGTGGCCTTTACTAGTCACCAAACGTGTATTTTTATATCCAGTGCAATACAACCTATATTATATTCAGAACAGTTTACACGATCAATTACCTAATGTGGCTAATTTTGAGAGATCGGAGTTATTAGGGAAATATATAAGTTGAGCCAAAACTTTGAACTTGCAGCTAAAGGAAGCAACAAGCAAAATACTGCAATTTGAATTGATGGTAATACCGCAAAATTGGTCCAATTTGCCTCACTGTTCTTTTGACTAACAAGTGGGGGCATTTGTTCCGTACTGTAATACCGACAGATTAGACATTATCTCGTCTTGAAACTAAATTCTGTGCATGTTTCAGCAACTTTGACATTTGGGGCGTTAAATTGCCGAGAGTCGTAGAAATGACACATTATATACCGCCAAAATAGATTGACTGAAACAGGCGGATAAGGTTGACAAGAGGAAGAACAGAAGGAGGAAGACATAACCATATTAACATGGTTCCTGAATACAGAAAAAAGTGGAGATATCCTGAAATGGAATATTTTGCATCGAAGTAAATTTTCCGATGAAAAAGAAAATGTAATATGGAATGATTTAAAAATACTGAATTTCTAAAATATTGTGATTGACGAAAATTCCAAATTCTAGGATTAACTTGAACGAAGCAACGTATGAAGACAATCAGTCAAGTCAATGAAAAAATCAGGGATAGATCCTTGAATGGTGTTCTGAATGAAGTTGTATTGTTTGGAGTCTCGTCATTTAGAGGTGGGCCCGATTGGAGGTATGCACAGGCTATTGTTGGTGTGTGGATGAACACAAAAGCCTTGTGAACCCACTCTGTCAAATGAACCTATAGCTTGTTGCGTGGACCGGGACTTGTACACAATACCGCGCTCGATCGGGGTACATGGCTTCCTCTCACAGTCGTATCCCATAACACCAGAGGAGCCTCTCATACTCGTCAGTATTTGGTTAACTATCCAACCATGCAAAACACGTGGGGATCATACGCACCACACTCTCTAGCTTACCAACTGCCTCCTCGTTCGTACGACGTATTTGCAGGTAAAACAAAACGTATTTTAGGGAAATTTCAGAGAAAAAACTGTTGTGAAAAAGGGTAAAAAAAAATCCGAAATTATATAAAGCATTAGTTATCGTGTGTTATTTTGTGATATAACTTAGTCTTAATCAAATAAAATGCTACAGTAATCGTTTCGTATGTTGAACTGGAATAATTTATTTCAACAGAAAATATTTCAGAATTTGAAATTTACTTGTTGATATGAAAATGTTGTTTGGAAATTTAGATAATTTTTCGGTGTTTTTCTGTTCATTTTCGACCATTGATTCGGGACACTGCCAGTTCCTTAATCTCTACAAATGAAGAATAATTTAAATGTCCTGTTTACACAAATTCTAAAATCGAAAAAATTGAAAATGTTAATGTTAATATATGTAATGACATCTTTTTATTTATTCATCAATGGTATTATGATGATGATACTTTGATTAGAATGTACAGAACAAAAAAATGTTTTTAAAATTTATACTAAAACAAAATAAACGAACATATGTGAAGTATAATTTTGCCAACAATGGGGATTGGAAGGGTTCGCTGTACTATAAATTCTGTTATATTACAAAATGTAAATTCAAAGAAATTATATTGTTGGTTTTAATATTTTTTGCTTTGATATTTCTTCTTCGGGAAATATATTTGATATATTTACACGGAGAGTTGATAAGAAGATCAAATGGTTTATCTATTCATTTAGCGTTGATAATGAGTGATTCGTTACTAATTTTATGTTTGTGTTGCATTTATGTTGTGTGGTTGTGTGTTCGGCTGGGGCCTCTCGTTCACAATATATATCTGTATGCCGTATGTAAATATGACACTACCTGATCGCCTTCCACTGACCTCCTACTGGACAAAGTTCGACATCATATGAAAATACTTAAAACCTTTTACTTATCTTAATATATTTATTGATTTTAATTAGTCTACATCAAACGATAGATTAATGCAAACATTGAAAAATTTAATACCTGTATTACGTATATACGCACCTAAACATATATATTCACATTTATACATTTGCACTGAGTTTAAATAGTGATTTTGTTACAGAGCTGTGAGTAGATTATATATTTAACCCTAATTAAAAGGAAGCTCTACAATTGTTAAGTCAAGCTCCGTTTGACAACGGATGATTTTAAAACAATAACAAGGCTGCCATTTTATCCGCTTATTTACGATAAATGAGCCTAGCTGTCCTCTGTTGTCCTCCTCAATGTGTATATCGTAGGTCAACTCTATTAATCGTGTAAACATTTCTATTATTTTATTTATCGCTGTTTCCGGCGGAAATGTTCGAAACATAAAACTTTTTTTCCATCGATTATTTCTTTGTTTATATATTACTTTTTTCATATTTTATCAATGTAATAAATTACTTCTGATTGAATAGTTTCTATATAACAATTATGTATAGTACATTTCTCGAAGTCGTTTAATGAATATAATGTTTCTATGATTTTCTTGCTTTCGTTGAAAAGTAAAACTATTTTGTAATTAACGCATCATTGTTATTATGGTTTTTCCCGTTGTTAGATCTAATACCTATTTATTCGTTTATTTGTCAATATTATATTTTTCCCCAAGAAGATTATTTATATTGTGTAAACCGGTTAATAAAGTTATATGAAATAAATAGCAAGAATAAATTAGATCTAGATAGTTACTTAAGATTCCATGATGGTTTCAAAAAATAAACAAGCTTATTTCTTTTAAACTTTACATTTTCTTACGTTTAATCTGTTACTTTAATTTCACATCATTCCTTTAACATATTTTTTTTTATATTTATATCTTAAACACAAGTAACTTCAGCGAAAACAAATTAAAAACCACACACCAAAACATTTCAAATAATTTTTAATTTATGATACTAAATAAATGGAGTTACATTAAAATTTCTGTTCAGTTTATTTATATATTTTTACTAAGAAAAATTTAAGCCAAAAACCAATAAAGATTTTTTTTCGATTTTCATATAATTTTGGAAGCGTTTGTCCATTTTCAGGTCATGGTGGGGTTAATCAGTTAGGAGGTGTATTTGTGAACGGGAGACCACTTCCCGATGTGGTGCGACAGAGAATTGTGGAACTGGCCCACCAGGGAGTTCGGCCATGCGACATCTCCCGGCAGCTCAGGGTATCCCATGGATGTGTCAGCAAAATTCTTGGGAGGTAAGTTCTTTTCTTTCGATTTAAATTCTTTTATTCGTCTGCCAACAACTGCAGACCAGTTCGCATGTCCAGGTTTTATTAATCATCGTCTCTTAGACAGCATTTCTTAAATGAAACGATTGAAAATAAAACGAGCCATTTGCCGGTTGGTAGATAACCATCAGCAGGTTAGTGTGTTTTGCCTCCAACCATAGTGCTGGGTCTTTCATCTTTGATTCCAATGTGCGACTTTTGAAGCTTTTATGTGAAAACTCCACAGAGACTGACATTGGTTACCTACTCTTGGTTACGAGGCAAATAGCCATTTCAACCTGCCCAGTCGATATTAAACTTAGATGACACGAAATGGCACGATCGCTGCTATCATTTGGCGTTGAATATTATATGTTTGGGCGTTGATATAGCCAGAGGTCATTAATGATAAAATCCAGTACATTGTTCAAGATAATACCGTGGCTACCAGATGTTAACCTTAACTACTAGAATCATTTGATTTTAGAGTCACTTGTATCAGCAACATGTCTATCCGTACAAGTCTCAGAAGGTTAAAAATATTGCTTCATTAAATGATATCATACAATCATATTTAATGAAATTTTCTACTGGTGAAAATGTGAAAGTTTAACCGCTTTTTAATATCGAAAACATTCATTAAGGATAAAAACACATTATTTAAACGAGTTTTTCATTTTAATAAATTACATAAAAAGATATGTCTGTAACATTTTCCCTGTGTAAATCAATAAATTGTTATATAGTGGACTGTGTACCGCTATAATGCACATAGTTAAATTCAGTCAGGAGATCTATTTAATTAATAGGTGGGAGGTGAGTAGTAAGAAGTGCGCGTTAGTTTGCTATTGAAGAATCCAAGCGTTAAAGGCAATGCTTAATCTCTGGGAACATCAGCAGTTTTTTTTACTCTGTAGTTATTTGACATATTTGTTTGGAAGCAATTGTTCTATTATGGCTTCAATGTATTAACACAAGACCAGCGTAGTACAATTTTTCTAAATAGATGCAAAAATTATATCAGAGTATACAATCAATAAACCAGATTGATATTAAGTTTCAATGACCATGAACCTACCACCTCGTCAGTCAGTTATTCACTTTAAATAACAGCAATTTTATTTACTTTGGTATTACATTTTTGTTTCATTGTTCAGTAAAATAGAAATGTCTCTGTTTAACCTCTATACATATTCCATTGAACATAGCTTATATCACTTTATCTTACAAACTATTTTATGTGTTTTTAAACGTCTCTTGTTTCATGAAATGCGGATAAGTTGATACGAGAATTGGTTTATCTTGTTAGTTTGTACCTAAAGTTGGGAAGATAAAACGGGTACTATAAATACAAGGGTGAGAGCCGGGATGAATTACGAGCCCCCCTGATCAATTAGGCATACAGAAGAACAATTATGAGAGGCATGTAGAATACGGACAGTGCGGCACGCAACAATTATGACCAGTGCATTCGGTACTGATCTGACCAGATGAACGCGAGAGGGTCAACCGGGTGGGTCTGTTATGGTTAAGGATAAGGGGTTGTATTGTCCCCTCGTGGCCAGGGACAAACCACATCGCTTTGTAGGGCGAACGTTGTATCTACATCCACACACGGTAATTACACGGGTTAACCGACCACAGACCTAGCTCGGGTTACTGAACAGTTCCTTGATACAGGGTACCCAGTATTGCTAATTCCTTAACCGATCACATTGGTGCGATATATAGGTAGGAAATTTGGCCTGAACAAGGCAGAAAAAGACAGGCTTTGATACTCAATGATGGGGAACGAACTTGCTTCCTCAGGTCCTGTGTTTGTCTAATTAGGCACAAGAATACCAACACAACTTGATGTCTAAATTCATTTCTCAGTAGTAAGAAAATGTCAGTGAGGGCTTATCATTATTGAATATAGCAGCATCTTCTTACTTCGGCCTCAGATTCATTCTCCGGAAAAGTTTTAATATCAACTACGATGATGTCCTGCAGGTAATCACATATACGGTAGATGCTACAAAAAGAATATTTCCATATGATAAAATGTCTGATATTTTACCTGTAAAACTGCATTACTGATGCCATGTTATTCACTAGTAGTTATTATAGTCATTTATTTGGAAATTCTCTTGTAACTACGGTTTGTTATAAATTATTTGTTGAGAAATTGAAATTGTTGAAATACATCTAATGTTTATTAAGAATCATGATTCATACATAAAAAGAGTTCTTCACTAAGTGTGAGAAACACGATTATTTCAAATCAAATAATCTCGGCCAGGGAAAACATGAATTGACTTTAATTATAGTTTATCGATAGCAGATATTAAAAAACCCTTGAGCACTTATTTTACCTGATTCAAGTCTTCATGTAGAACGTCACTGTCAGGATTTCTATGTAAGAGGACATGATGTTTATCTTCGTATGGAAAAATTGTATCATCCTGGTGTTAGAGTTAAAACAAAGCTAGAACAGTTGTGAAAAAACAATGTATATATAGTGAGACATCTGCTAATATCGAATTTGCTATTAATACTCTATAATAGGATATATTGCTCTAATAATATTGAATTGGTGTAAGCTAAATTACTATACACACACTGGAACCTTTATAGTTCAATGTTTATACCAATAGAAATTATATAGCATTGCATGTTATTTTTCCAACAAGCATTTTCTTAAATTTGTGTTTTGTGGTGGTTGTGCTAGTCTTGAGATTAATTTGTACACTAAGAAAATAACATGAGGATTAAGTGTATTGAAATTCGACATTGGCTTGATACTGGGTATACAACTCGATCATAGAGAACGATTGTTAGTCGTCTGAAAACAATTTCAATTTCAGTTTCCATCATATGCACAACTGATCGTATAAGTGTCTCAATGAAGTGACAGCTTGTCGCCACATTGAACACGAAGACTCAATTAACAGGAAAGAAAGGAATACTGAAAAATACAACCAACTCTGTACTCCTCTCCTCTCTGATAAGCGGTCTTATTTTCTAGTCATATTTTTGTTGTTATAGTTTCATTTTGAAATTCCTTAAGTTTTGTTTTATTTTATAGATAAAAGTTTATCGATATGTGTTTGTGTAAGACTAATTATTCGATGTTTTCTAGGGACGAAATTAAAAATAAACATTTTCACAGCTGTGCACCGTGTTCATCTGCTTATGTATAATAGGAGTTCCAAGAGGCCTTACTACTAGATCACTGTGATAAAACCAGGCTTGTCTGTTCGTCTCTGATAACCCTTAGTTGATGTCACCTATCAGAAATAACATATCAGTAGTTCAATTATGTAAAATATATGCATAAAGCATAGAAACAGGTCTGTTTCTGGAATTAGTCAGATAAAGTGTCATATTTCAGTGTTTGAATATATCACGTAAGTAGTACGAAATAAGATTTTTTTCTGTAACATATACTATAACACGAAACAATATCCCAACTACAAAGTAACAGAGTGAAGCATTAGATGGAACCACATTTTACAATATACCGTAAAATACTCCACCGAGCTGTTACAAATTTAATTAATAAATATATCGTACATAGAGTGCAATAAACTTATGAATACATTGGAAATATCTACCATTTTGATTAGCATTATAACATTTTATTTGACTGAAGCTGATATTAAATTGTATCATTAGGCTTTCTTTACAGTATGTAACGTCCGAACACAAATGTTATATGTAGTTTCAAACTACATTGAGGTTATTAGCGTGTTAATGATTATTACAATTTTTAGTTTGCAGTTTTGCTTTGTTTTGTGATAGTTTTCAGAGGTATTCCGTTTCATTTACAGGCATTTGGGAAATTATATAGCCTGTCCTCAGCTATTGCAGAATTGGACTAAAGTTCCACTTGGGTTTACAAAAATGTTGTTAACGTTTGCTCTAATTTTTTTTGGAATACCCAGAAAACTAGAAAATAAGCCTACTTCAAAATAGGACTTTCCTGAAAACAATCCTGCCGGTACATACATAAATTAGCCAGCATTTGCTTACAATTAAAGAGAATAAGCAGCGTCTTATTTTCGAGTTGTTAGGCAAACTGTTTGTTCGATTTTGTCAAGATAAATCTCTGTACTTTCTTTTTTTTGGTTTTTCTATTTCTAGGTATTACGAGACGGGTTCCATTAAACCCGGGGTAATTGGAGGTTCCAAACCTAAGGTTGCAACACCTAAAGTGGTTGATGCTATTACACGATACAAACATGAAAATCCTACCATGTTTGCATGGGAAATTCGAGACAGACTACTGGCCGAACAGGTGTGCACGTCCGAAAATGTTCCAAGTGTCAGCTCGATCAACAGGTGAGCATGGTTAACATTAAAGATATAATCTCATTTGAGGACCATTATAACAACACAAACATGGGGTTCGATTTGTTTAAGTATCGACGCTGTCATTCACATTTACTATGAATGATTTACTATTAAAATAAAAATCTCAATATGGACTTATTGCTCAAAGTGTATTAAATATGATGATATTAACTGGAGCAAAACATAACGAAAAAATTGTACATTAGGGTTAGTTACTGAATAATGATAAATCGCTCTTCTCCGAATATTCCCAGAAACGTTTTCCCAGCATTTACCCTCTCCTGAATACTGTCAGAAAAATACATACGAACAATCGGACGATTAGACAATCTCTCATGTATATATTATTTTGTTTCTCATGTATTTTCATAGTTCGTTGACTGTTGTAGAAAGCTTACTTTAAGACCAGATATCTACCTTTTTTAAAATCAATTGTGGTGTAGTCAAAACTTTAAAACATTATGTCGAAGACTAATTACTTACACCTATAAACCGTCTGGATGGGCACAAACTGCAGTCAAACACTTTTACTCAAAACCGAAAGTAAATTCACAGATCCCTTTGGTCTTTTGTAGTAGCAGGAAATATTAAGCAATATAGCTGTTAAGACTTGTTAACGTGAGTGATGTACGGCCTTGGTAATCTGTGAAGATAAATTTAGTATATTCATGACCAACAAAGGTCTCAACATAATAGCAACTCGTGTTGCCTAGGTGTCTCTTCCAAAACTCTAAGTACAATTTTCCCTTTGTACTTTTACACTTACAACTCTTAATATTAGTTTTATACCTCATGAAGAAAATATGGCCTATCATAATTATTAAATTATGACTAATTTAAAAACGATCAATCTCTGAAATGTGTAAGAAGAAACAAGACGACGAATTAAAGTTGACTCAATAGGACACCCATTTTTTTACAAAGTAAAATATTTGCCTTGTCGATGGTTCCCATCTCTACCGTAGGCCCCCGGTTATATAAAATGTATATATATACGAGATCAATTAGAAATTTTATCAACGTCACTATTTGCAGCTTTCCAGCCCATTCTTTACATAGACACATTTTATTAGTTATTAAAACCCGATATAAGCTATGACTAAATTGTCAGTTGTAAGGTGTTTAAAACTACATAAATTTATCTGACGGAAATTTTCAAAACGTTCATTTCTGTGCAGAAGTTATAATCATAAGTTACAAGATAAAGAAACTTCCTTCAGATCTTGCTTTTCAAATTTTCCGTTTCAATCGAGCATGAAGCCGATCTACGCTCTGCACTCGTCGCACTGGTGTTCCTGTGGATGGAGCTAGATCTGACTCTTTGAAATGCTTGCCCTGCGTCTGTTACATAGTATCAATATTTATAAAACATACATCGTTGTTACATCACATTGCTCGCGCTGACCCTATCTATAGAACGAAAAACCAGACCCAAGTAGACAGCCTTCTATGACAAGGCAAATTCCTCTAATGTAATATCCTATATCAATATGTGTAGACAAATAACATACGCACTAATAGTATATTGATGTGTACGTAATGTCACATAACAATACATCGAACAGTGTTTTCTAATTAAAAATTCAAAAATTGATCTCCCGTTTATTTACAAATGTAACGGACTTTGTATCATTTTGGTTATTTTTATGTTAGCAGCAGCATGCTTTCTTACTGGACTTTAAAGAACTTGTATATACAAGGTCTTACTATTATTTCATGCCGTCTTGTTTTAATTATTATAACTTACGAAGTTATTTAAAATGCTTAATTGTAATGCTGTTGTAACATGTTATTGTTGACCCAGACGATATCAACTTTACCAACGGTTAACATTAGATTCACCATTACAATCAGGAAATTAAGGAATTGTTTCTAAGATAACCGTTAGCGTTAATGACTTCATCAGATCTTTCTTTTCTTGTACAACGACGAGAAATTTAATCGATATTTAATATGAGAAATAACCCATTATTGCCAACTCGCCCAGGCTTTCTCGACAGTTTTTGTCCTTCTATTATAAATCCCTTACACGTATTTATAAACAAATTAGTATGTTTTCTGCATGAGTCGCTCACTATGAAGCACTGATGCCCAGGCAAATGGCAGAGGGATGGAGCTTCGTAAAGGTTTAGTCGAGCGTATTCATATTCGGCAATTTTATTTTTATTGACACTGAGAAACGATGACCCTCCCAGCTGTTAGTGGTTGTAGGCAGTGCACAGTACCATTAAGGGATGGGGATTGACTACAAATGTCCCCAACCCTCACATGTTCCTAATTAAAAGGCAAACGTCGTAAAACAGGTCAGCATTTAAAAAAAAACGTAACTGTTTTACAAGAGATATTTTCATTTAGAGCCATGGTTAAAATGAAGCCTTTGAAATGAAAACGTTCATTATGTATTCAAATATATCTTTATAATGTAAATTCTAATTGGTAACTCCAAGAAAATGTGTTTTGAAACAAGGCAGTTTTGGTTTTTCATTTGTAACCAGGCCGACAATACAGTAGATTGGTTAGACAAAACACAAATCGTCTCCATGACAAAAGTGTTCAAGTCAAGTGAAAAAATGGCATTTCAGCCAAAATGAATCAGAACTCATCACATGAATAAAATATCTTTGTCCTCTTTAAATTTTACTTGTTAACGCATTTATTTATGAGGAAAATTTTAAAGGACACACATATCTTGAACATGTTTGAAATACCATCATATTTATATTTTATTAGATAAAGTGTTAGTTTTAACAGCGTGGCAAGTTCGTTATCATTGTAAATTTTGCATGTTTTGCTTAATTGCCTTATATTATTGATGTTGATAAATGTTCGCTAAATTTAGCTTCTATAGGTCTTTCTGAGTACCAGTAATTTTACTCTTGAATGGCTAGCATATACACGCAATGGCTAGAATTTATCGGGAGGATCTTATTTCTATATGGAAACAACTTCATTCCATATTTATTACAGAAATAATGTCAACACATAGTTGTATAAAAAGGAAAAAATAACAATGGTAACTTTCTTTTTTAAACACTAAGTGAAGAATATAATAAAATAATTAGATATATTCAGTGATTATAATGAATAGTTTGGAACTGGCACTTATCTTTTCAATATCATAGTATTATTCATTATGCAATGGCGGTGTTCTTTGTTGGTGAATAAGATAATTTATTAATATGACGTTTATTTTATAATCTACTTAATATAATGAAGATATGATGTAATTACTATTACTAGTTTTGTATATAAGTTGTCAACTTTGGCATGATACTATTTACATGCATGTACATAATCTACTATACGGGCATGGCGTTATACGATGACGTGCGTCAAATCTGCCTTGTGAGGTGGGCCACGCGATTTACTACAGATGGCAGACTCCATCGGGAACTTTATCGTGATTCCGCAAAATCTTTCTGGAAAATGACATAATTGCTCGAAAATTTGAAACTGTTTCGAGGATGGTTGCGTGTTCAATCACCATTATAAGGAAGCGATTTGGACCGCGTTAGTTTATGTTTAGCATTGAGTTTTTATGAGGAATCACCGGGTACAGTGGGGATAGCGGACGGTGGGTATGTGTTTATTTCTGAAGGGGACATTGAGTACAGTTGGCAGTTAGCTTCTGATGATGTGGATCCAAGTGACGGGTATCGAATAACCGAAACGACGAAACACTAGCAAAATAAATTTTACAGTCGAATTCTTGCTCCTTTTTCTACTATTGCCGAGCCTTACAATACTAGTGTCCCGTGTCCTCTCGGGTTGGGAAGGAATTACGTGCTCACTGAATCCTGTGAGGGTCCTGTGTAAAGGTCGCTTCGGTACAGACCACCAATAATGGGCCTCAATTACCCACCACAAACCAAGAGCGGTGTGCTGCAGTTAAACTTTAAACCGAACGTGCATAGGGTACCTTTCGACAGCCATAAAATACGCCACCCTTACCCTTTCATTCAGAAAAGGAAAATCAAAAGGCTCAGCACAACCATGTTTAACGGAACACGATCAACAACTATAGACGACTGTTGTTAGAAAGTCATCTCGCCTTTGCTGACATGACTTGTTCGTCTCTACCAATACTGTTCCAAAATCGACAGTTCGCAGAAAGTATATCGGTACAAAACTCGCATAATGAGATAAAATTTAGTAATATAACCGAGCGACACAAAATAAACAACCCGACAAAATAACGGTTTGTAAAAGCATCCGAACAAAACTAATTTTGTTACCTTTTTTTTTCAAAACACGTTTGTCTAAATGAATAGACATTATCGCATTTTGAAATTAAAACATGTTTTAGAATATGCGCCATTATGACATTTTGAAAGTCATAGAATGTGATTATTTGGTTGGAAAATCAATATCTTTATATACCCTTATTTCACATTTTATTTTCTGTAGATAATTATGTATCCGAACGTTTAGTTTGTAATGTAACCGTACCTCTTTAGGACCTATTAATTTGGAATTGATAAAGGATACAAACGGATATTGGTTGTTGGAGATAGATAGGGGAGACGTACCTCCACTTAATAATTTGAGATGTTCATATGATAAGTTAAAACCCTGGTATGAAAAGTAGAATGAATATCTAAGGACAAGGAATGCCGAAAGACTTCGTGTCGTCGAGTCGTCAATGTCACTAAAGGAAACGTCAAACATGTGCTCGAGTGTCCCATCACAAACACGACCTCTTCACCGGCACCCCAACACGAGAACCGGCTTTAGTTTCTCAAACCGCAAGGCAGACAAACAAAAGAAATAGAGATGTTTGTCTCGTAGAAACTCCGAGAGATAACAAAAGCTAGGAGTGACGGAAACATGCAATACCCAGTCATTCAGATAAGAGCATTGACTACTTGTTAAACGATTCCGGATAGTACTTATCTCCACATGACAAAAGAACGCAAAAAACAATGTTAGGCCACGTCTGTTTTACTCCATTACTCCTTCAATGATTGAAAATATCTGTATAGACTGGGAACAAAATAAGTTAAAGGTCTTACAAAAATAGCACGTCATGTGATTTGTTTCACCAAAATAACATGTCAATTTGTTGTATATTTTTCTGTCTTTATGAAAGTTTAAGGTAACGATACAGTTCAATTAAATATCTAGTTGATAAAAAATCTTCTGTTTCTATGAAACGGTTTAAAATCAATTTAGAATCTGCATTTTTGCCAATGGATTACACAAATATTATTAAATCAATTATATCATTATTAATTGTATTATTCTAAAAGACAATGGTGATGGGATCAGACTTCGGATGTTATATTGAATAGGTATAGTCAACCACAAGATGACTGTTACGTAAACAGCAGAATTTCGTGTGTAGTTGTAAATCAACTCATTAGAACATTCTTGGCGTAGGATACATGTGGGGAGTCTTGAGAAAGCCAGCATGCCCTTCTTGGTGCATCAGACCACAGGCGTTAGAAGTAGGAAGGCAAGGCAATTGGCAGTCGGTAATTTACCGAAACTAGCTAGCAGTTTGCAATGATACATATCAATTCCGGAAAACGAAAAAGTAAACTGATAGAGTTTTCAAAGATGTCCCGCTGACAATGCCGATGTGCTGTTGTTTATTCTTTGGGAAATGCATGGCTGTGCTCCATTTTGATCCGAGGCAGTTTTGTTGATGTATGGCTTTCACAGACACTGTCTCGCCACAGCGTCATTATGGTCAGTGGTAGATTGTATTTATCTACTTAAAAGATACAGAAAGTATACAATTAAGACATTTAGGGAAAAGAACCAGAAATATGATTACACGTTTAAAATAAAATTTTGAATAGAACCAAAACACAAGTACAATAACATACTCATGATGACACGTAACATTTTTCTATTTTCAGAATTGTACGTAATAGAATGGCAGACCAGGCCAAACTTGGTTCCCCAAGCCCGTCCAACGACGCCTCCAGTCCCCCTCTGTCACACACATCTTCTCCTAATGCAGATTCTCTTCAGAGAACAGGAACTTATTCAATAAGTGGAATACTGGGCATTCCAAATCAAAACGCTCAAAGTATGGCTGACCCTTCCAGCGTAAAAAGAAAACGAGAGGACCAACCAGGTAAGGAATCTATCAAAAGTATATTTCATGTAAATGAGAACTGTTTGTAGGTGGTTGTGGTTTTTTGTTCGTATCGGAAATGAAATTCTGTAGCGTTAGTGATTAGCATGTTTTGACACACTGGAGACGAATCTGTGAATGTTTGTCTTCATCCTTAATTTTGAAAATCTAAGGTAACGTTTAATGTGAGATGTACATGACTAACACCTGAATATATTGGAGGTGCGACGCGTGGGGCAATTAATTGGACGCTCCAGGGTATATTTAAAAACCTGGAATATTACCAAATATATATTCAGTACATACGACGGAAATTTAATTAATCTGAGAATGAGGATTTCTTTTCAATCGTTGAATGAGTTTTAAATACATTTTCCATGTCGCCTTAGCATACTTCTTTAAACATTTTGTTATAAAATGAAATTTAGCAAATACCTGAAATAACTTCGATCTTATCAAACCGGTATAGTTGTCAAAACATTGTTAATTAATTTAATTAGTACCAGTGTAATACATACTAAAATTAAATAATCATTAAAGTGTAAGTACGTATAGAAACAGACCATTGCCACCTCACTTTACGGATCCTATTTTCCACCTAGTAATAATGAATGTGAAGTAGAGTGGTTCATACTCTTACAGACTTTTAACACAAAACTAGCTATTATGAACCTGTTATGTGTGGCGAGAAGTAAGAACTATGATTAACTTTACAGTAGGATTTACTCCCAAACTGTCCTATATTCATGGTAGGGCTGCATATAATTACTAATTAGCACTGACCCAAGTAGAAATCGTTTATACACTAACTACCAAACACTTGGGAAAATCCATTACGGAACGGTGCATTGCTTTATATGTTTAAAACAACTTCAGAATGGGTGGAGATTTTATCAATGCGTGGACTGACACAAAACGGATAGATGTTGAAGATTAGTTTTTGTATATCTCGAAACACCACCCGGGAGATAGCTTGTTTTATCAGAGTCCTAAATGTTGAAAGAATGTCGCACAAAAACAGACTTTGTCCATCACGCTATTCGGTTACGTATTATCTCATATCTGGACTGGGAATGAAAAAATAACATAAAGGCGTGCCAAAACAATACAATACTCAGTTGTATAGAGATCAGCTGGCTTCGTGTCCGCTTTTTGCGCTGAAGAACCATTGTTATTGTCGCAGAACTTATAAAATTAATCATCAAAAGCTCATCCACAATGGCAGGCTGTAAATGTTATCTTTGGAAGAAAAATATGTCTTGGCTAAGTCCTTCCGGTGTGCTTGTTTTATTCAATTCCCCTATAACTATACAAGATGACATTTAAAATGATACCATTCATTAAGAATATTCGCAATACGACGATGTCTTAGTATAGCGGAATCTCTTGACTATTTTTTCATACACACGTGGATTGTCGATGGCTATCAGGTTATTCAAAACTTCGTTGGTTCTGACAAGTCATAACTCAAAATACTAAAACCAAGATTTCCTATCCATGCTTTAAAATGTTTTAATCGGAATAAACTTATTTTTACATGAGGAATTAGCAAAACCTACACATATAATTAATGTTATATATGTAGCTGACTCGGCAAACTTGAAAGATTTTATGATTTACCTGTCTGGCTAAATGCAATAAAGAATATAATACTGGCTACCTGATCCAAAACCTCGCCAAACCGATAGCTAATCAATAAGGAACAGATGGAAGTGTTGCTCGTGTAGCCGTCGTTAATTTGTAAACGGTTTGAACGTTTCAAAATCAATATTGCAATTTACAAATCATGCGCTACTTTATTTCCTTATCGAGACATATTTCAGATATTTTAGACTTCCTCAAAATTGGAAGTATTTGCCTGATTATGTTATAGATTCATTATTTTATGTCGTGGTATGGTTCATAAAACAACAAAATCATATGTTTATGGAGTTTCTGTTTTGGACCGAGTATTTCATGTTACTCGTGTTAAGCTAAGCCTTTCACTCATACTACTCACGTCCATAGTCATATTGCCGCTTTTACAAGGTATGAATTAATCTCTATGGTTACATCACATTTAGATATTATTAGATAATCATAGAATTAAAATATGCTAATGTTATTCTGTAGATACATTAAAACATCTGCTTATCTGCCACGTCCATTGTCCACATATATATATTGTAATACGTACTCGGCTAGTGCGGATGGATACTTTATTATCTCTGGCATATGAGTATGCACCAATGTGTTGGCATTAGCCGGTATAAGTAACCTGTGAGCGCGTGGCTGCGCTATCTGTGACATGACTGTGGCCAATATGATGAGTCCATTTACAGTTAAGGACACCTCGACTGATAATAATTAGCAGGGTGAATAAATCGATGAGATAAGTAGGATGGTACAGGTTACCTGTCGCACGTGTAGCTTCAGGCCGGTAACAGCCAATCGATTGATTAAATGATCATAGTGCCCGAGTATGGCAACAGCAATTAAAATGCCTCCTAACTGCTGCAGCGTCAGACCCTGTTTAGTTGGAATTACACCGACCTTATCTTCAAGTAGTCAAACACAAATTGCAGTATGAACTGTTTGTCCATCAGCACATTCATTTTACCTGATAGACAATCATGAGAGAAATTGTCTGGCTATAATAATGACGCAGGGGACTATTTATGTTCTCGCCGATGTAAACTCAAGGGACTTTCATTTATATTCGTCTACACACGTATACCATTAAACTACCTTGCTTATTAATTGCTACATACATTGATTTTGCCTGTCGCTTTATATTTTTTAGCTAAACTATTACAAAATTGAAAATTTCATCACACTAAAATACATCTTTTCATAACGCGTCGATAACAGAAGGTACATTCAGGTGTTGGAGACGCGTGTATGGTAGTCTCGCGTTCTCGTTCTAGATATATGCCTCTTTGCCCTTTGTGTGCGTGTGAGTGTGGGCAGCTTCTTTACACCCTATCTGGCATGTAAATGTGGTCATGAATTGGTCCACGTCCGATATCGAGTAATTCAATCAAAGATAACTCTATTATTATGAATAGGGATTACAAATAACCAATGTGTAGATGGCACTTATTTGTGAGAATCAGATTGTTAGAATAAGCCAATGCCATCAGACTAAGTTCGTTACGACTTTATTGGAGGTGCTTTTTTGTACAGTAAATCAGATTTCTGTCTCGTTGTCTCCTCGTTAAAAAGAGACACCTCTTGAATGTGTCACTAACTTAATGCTACTTGCATTGAATTGGCATCCGGCAAACTGGCGTGTATTACCAGCCTGGCAGAATTCAGGATGTTTCGGCCGATTTTCTATTATAATGCGCCGATGCTTTAGAAGTTAAGTAGTACGGAACACGATCAGAGGAGGAAATTAATAGTAATTGAGGAATGGTTCAGCGGAATCTTTAGGCATTGAATTGGGCCATGTCCAAAGAGCAAAGGCATTCAAAATAAATTTACCAAAATACCATTTCCATTGTGCGAGGTTTTCTGTTTCACAAGTTTTAAGAGTGGGCAATTCTTGAATCATCGAAAGACTGCTAGAGACAACAAACAATGTTTTCTCAGTAACTTATCTCTGAAAAGCTATATATGGCTTGCGTTTGTACACTTCAATGTATATCAATTAAAGTGTAGTATGTACAAACCAAACGTTTACTCTTCTGGGACACCTGGTCTTATTTTCTACTTTTTCAGAAGTTTCCGTGTTAATCTTTCTTTTGTTCATATTTTGCTCTAATTTTATTAAATCAATTTGGATTATGACTTCTTATGTTGAGTGGTTTTTTTTGTTGTATGTATAAAGGTATGTATTTTTTTATTATTTACAGTTACAAATGGGCATGAACCGGAAGTAAAGACAGAACCATTAGGCAATAATAACAATGTCACAAATGTAGATGTAAGTATTTATCATATTTTTCATTGATAATGTAAAAAATACATGCATTGTTGGTTAAGGTATCAACTTTACCAAAATAAATGGGTAAACATGAGATTTCTTAGAACTGATACATATCCACTCTATATGTTCATGTTTAATCCACCACACATTTAACGTGATTTTTTTCCAATATCTGTTTTTCTTATTTTCATTTGTTTATGGAAACATCTATGAAGTTGGTCATGTTTGGTATTTTTTGGTGATTTTAGATGTGGTACGCGGCCCGTCCACCCAAACTATCCCGCACTGAAAACGGAGCACCACAAGAACATCAAACAGTGATTTTACCTAACGGGGCACAGATCTACACCCCAGGGGGTCATCCCCCAACTTATAATGCTCAGTTCATAACCGCATCTACGTCAACAAATGACATTAAAACAGTGGAATATACGATGCCGACTACCGCTATGGCAGGGACAGTTACAAACACAGAATCTCAAAACCCGACAGCCAATTATACTCCATCTATAGGTAGGTGATTTTCTGTAGCAGTAAATAACTAGTTTGCATTAGTATATATACAAGTATATGTATGTATATATATATGTGTGTGTGTGACACCGACTAATTTATTGCATGTGTTTGCCGATTTTATATATTATTATTTTTTGCACTTTTTTGTTCATGTGGTGTATATTGGTGTCCCAAATTTCAATTCATTTTAAAAATGCGATTCCCGCCTTCGTATATTTATTTTTGCCTGAATGAGAATGTTTGGCAAGAGCATTTTATTTCGAAAGAGCTTTTATTTTTTGTTTTCATTTTTGGTATATTATCAGTGTTTTTTTATTTCAAAAGTTTATTTTTCTACTCCGTATGATTTTGAAAATTTTAGTTTACGAGTGGCTTTTATTTTAATTTTGAGGTCAACCCATAACCACGCCTATAACCGTTAATGCCCAGTCTGTGAGACCAGTCATAGTAACTGTGACGGCGGATGGTCGAATTACGGGCGAGCACATTCCTCCGGCAGATTTTGTTGAAGGTAATGCAGTGTCATTGCTCCTCAGAAACATCATGTTCTCCTGCCCATGTCAGATATTTGTCGGGATAAGTTTATCTTTCAGAGATACGAAACAGTAGCCTATCGGATGTTTCCTAATAGAACACATATTTGAAAGAATGATAATCTGTTACTCATGCAGATTCGTATGTAAAATAATGCTTTATGCGCTACTATCATTGTTTTATAATCATGAGAAGTCACCATGGAAACGGTATAACGTTAGATAAAGTTTTTTTCTACTCTGGTATTTTGTGGACGTGTGTAGGGTAATATTTCACAGATAGTACCGATATGATGTGAAAGCTAATGATAAAAATTGTGATGTGCTACTGTAGCTGGGGTAATCTGTTCTGCAGAACTTCTTTGATTTTGATAGCAGTTAAGGTTTGACAAAAGTCGCCGCGCCGTAAAATGCAATCACGATAGTTTTACCATCCTTGCAAATTTAGGAGACGGATGTTCGAATTGACTTTTGAATAATCTGCTTTTAATCAGCGTAGAATAGCAAGGATTCCTTACTCCATTCTGATAGTGTTGGTAATGGGTATGATTCAAAACAATCGACAAACAACAAAACAGTGAATTAATATTATGGAAGACATTAAAATGATCCCTTATCCGTTTGTGTTTGTCAGAATCACGGTTAGGTAGACAAGGTATTGCAATTTATTGATTTAAATGTGCTATTATTTACTAAACATCACTTTTCTCACAAATCGACTAAGTATATCATTTGATATCAGTTTTTTATCATCTGTCGTGAATGTAAAGATAACAATCTTTTGTAAATTATTTTTCCTTCACTGTTTATTTCTAAGAGCAACGAATATATTTGTTAAGTTATTAAGTGTGAAATCTAAACTATAATATATAACAGAATGTCTGTCCCGCGTTTGCAATTTTAATAATATGTTGCTTTTGTATCAGTTATGTTGATCATATATACCTGATTGTATTCATTGGAATGTGTCATGTTATTGTTGTGCATTGTGCAATACCTAGCATGAATTTTTGTTTCCCCTTTTTCAGCAAGCAACAGAAACAATACAACTCCCTCCAATAATAACACTACCACGACAAACAACAACATAACTACAAATATCACTGCTACAAACAACAATAATAACAACACAAAAACACCCTCCCCTAAGCCTGGAACCCCCTCCCAAGCAGGTGGAAGCAACCTGACAGAGCTTAAACCCGTACAGCCCACCCTCACTCAGCCCTACCATACTCCGTTGCCGTCATTTACGGGGCAGTTTACAAGTAAGCATATCTTCAATTTTTGCATAGATCCAGATATAGCTGAGTTGCTCATCCCTCGGTCATCCCCTCATTAACAACTGCACAACTAGCACCTGTCCTCATCTCTTGGTTTTTCACTAGAAAATTGTTTTACAATAACCTCATCACGATGGAATATTCACTCACAAGTTATACCGATTTCACTTCTTATTTAATCGCCACTTTGATTAGAGGTATGTGGTGTAAAATCTTAGTGAAAAATCTGAGAAGTTAATCGAGTTGCTATCCATAATTACATATATCAGGATTTTGCATAAAGAGAGTAGCCACTGGTCATTATCAGGGCATTGTCCGAGGGTTCAGCAGCTCTTATATCACGCTTGGCTTATCATACATTCATTTCATCCTGAAGTAAACACATCGACAGATTCCTTTATTGAATAACACAAATTGCTGCTGTGCAATATAAAAGTTTGATGTGTTAGTTTTCATATTTTGTAGATAAATATATTAGTTCATCTGTAGTAATTTAATTATTTTAGTATGCTTTAGTTTTTATAGTTATGATAATTTCTTTTGCTCTAGACTACGCTTTTACCGTTGTGTAATTTACCATAACTAGATAGACCATCAAAATTAAATATATCTCTATTTCATTCTCTGCATTTTAACATTTTCGCAGTGATATATTTTTAAAATTTTAGTTTGTAACTAATAAAGGATATTTAAGCTTTATTATTACTATATATTAAAATATATATTCATATCTATTCCATATATAATTCTGTATTATTTGTAACCGATCATACATTAATCACAACTTTATAATGAACACAATCCTCCATTACGTTATAATCATCTGTATTAAATATCATATAATACACTATTCTGTACGAGTATGATAGAATGCACTTGGAACAGAGCACTCTCTGTTGGCTTAAAATGATACAGCAGGCCCAAATGAGGAATATGAATTCACCACTCTAATTACTTTCTATCAATGACGGACTGTAAACGATTAAAAAGTGCAATAATACAGGCGAAATATCTGGTATATTGTTACTTTCAGACTATCATTAGGGCATTCTGTGTAGAACGTCAATTTTGGGTGCTCTATTATAGATTTAAATTTGTAGTTTTTAATAGTAGTCATTGTCCGGAAAAAGTGGGAAACCTTACGCTTTGTTCAGCAATGTCAGACAGGTTATTAGTGAGAGTAAAAAAAAATTCATTCAAAGAATTTTTGGATGCTGATTAAGTAATTATTTCACAAGTTACCAAACCTTGAGTGAAGCGTTCTGTTGAGTTATGATAATCTTATTCTGATAAAATGGCCCATGCTTTACTTCAGCGTAGCTCGAACTCTGTCAGTGTCGCTTTACCTGGCGTAAATTTGCGCTCTGGCGTATCATACAAGAAATATTCAAATGAAGCAGATATTGCTACGAAGCCGCCGCATTATTCCATGATACATGGTTTTGACCCGATTCCTTATCTACACTGTGTAAAATGGTGTGAAATGCTAACGACATGTTTTGATATGGAGTTAAACCACCAAGAACATTTGATTGAAACGAAATGCTGACACACCGCTCATTTCCTTGCTGCTCTTTGATGGCTGATTTTAGAGACCCGCGCCAATATCCTGTCAATTTAGCCGCTTCCTCTACTAGTGATCACATCGTTATCACTGGGGCACGCTACAACTCTCCTTCTCCGCATGCTCTATATTAACAAAAATTACATTCTGCATGTCTCCCTCATCTTACGCTTCCTCACAACTTCACTGGCTTATCTCCATCCTAAGGTGCTTCCACATCCTCACACGCTTATCTTGTGTCCTAAGGTGCGTGTAGCTATCACACGACAGTATTATATACTAGCATGGCTTCAAATCAAAATTGCTTGATATGTTGTTTATTGTAATACTCAAGTCTCAGTAGAAAATTATATCATTTGGGCATACAGTGTCTGAAGATATTATAAAAAACAATATCTTCTACGATAAATGTGTTTGATATTTGAGAGATTACAAAGAACTTTTACTTTTTGTCTAGGTCAAGCTAACAGTTTTAATTCTACAACGCATGCAACATATCCAAGTCAACCTGTGGTGGGGACGGTCGTACCTCCTATTGTTATATCAGGCGGGAATTACACATCCGGCACTGCGCCTAGTAAGTTTTATATACATAACATGGTGTATTAAATATATGAAATTTAAGGAAATACGACGCTGGTGCTGTCTTTGTTAGAGAAATAGATTTTGTTTTGGCGATCCAAACGAGGAAATCTGTTTCATGAAAAATATTAATTTCAAAGTAATATGTGACGGTTTTACAAAATGTGTGTATTTTTTGTGCACGTTAAAAACCAATGCGGCATTGATTTGCTATGTATAACGTGCAAATAAGTTACTAAGCATTTGATGCCTATCAAAATACCGAAAAATCGTGGATATTTGCATTTCGTGACAAAGAGCTGAAGTTCCTTAGATTTGCGGCCATGCCTTTCATATTCTTCCGATGTTGAACTTTGTAACCCGACTTTCATTCCATCTCTGCAATAGAGGATTCTTCCATTTCACAGAGTAGTTGAAACATAAAAAACATTGTATTTTAGTTTTATTTTTATTTTTAGTTTTAAGAAAAATTATCGTGTTACATGTAGCATTTATACAGTAACGCATTAATTCTATTTAATATCTAGTTTGGCCTTGTTTTAAAGTTTGCCTTTCTTTTTCATTCATTACGTTGATAAAATCCTTCTTATTTGCTTCATTGTTTACTTGGTGTTCTATAAAATTGTTCTAACAACTGTTCTTGGTGCAATTTCCGAAGGATACAATTAAGTGTCTATAGTGCCATCCCATTACATTTCGGATCATTAAGAAAGAACGATGCTTGCTATTCGAGGAAAATTTAATTTCTCTTTATGTACGCGGACAAAATTATATTTTCCAATTCAGTGGTTCCAAGACATGTTCACTGGGCCTATAATTTGGTTGTATTGTCAACTCGGTCCTTTCAAACGGAATAAGAAATTCTTTCATCAATCATTCCGATGTTGTGGAACTGTACGCATGGTCTGTTCATCCCGGAACAGATTAAACAATTAAAGTAGCTGATGATGTTCTTGCTATGGAACAAACACAAGAGAAAAAGGCCATCGTATTATAGCTGTCTTATTATAGCGACGCGTTTCGTTCCACTGCCCCTGTCATCAATATTTCGTAATTTTACAGAACCACTTACCGTCGGAGCTAGGTCGACCTGGAGTGCGGGTCTCAATAGCCCTTTGCAATGTTTATTTGTATCGCTATTTGGGTATATTAAAAGAAATTTATGAGTAAATAATTGACATTTATCGATACATTACTGGACAACTTTTTTGCTCGAAGTAACATCTCTAGAAAATAAATTGCCCTTCGAAGATATTTTGATTATAAACACATATGATTTGCTTTTCGGGTTTTTGTTTGCAAAGGATATATATTGTTCATATTCTGTGTCAAAGCGCTCTCGACACAACTTAACAATAACCAAGTATAACATTTTATGTTTTTAAATAATTAAGGTATATTTTGAACTTCAATGGAATTTCTATATTTATCTGAACATTCAACTAAACGAAACGAAAATAACCATTAGGTGGACTATAAATGTTTTGCCTACATTTAAGTTAATTCAATTATTAATTACCAAACTATGACTATTTGATTGATCGACGAGTATAAAGTCAACGTAAAGGAATCTATATTTACCAACGTTGTATACATAGACCGTGTACTGTCATGGCGAGTAATTGGTGCCCGCCAATAGCGATCTTCTTGACACGCAAACTTGTTAACATTTAGCTTGTTTTTGCTACAATTCATCAGCTAAATTAACCGGGTATTAATATTGGAATAAAACGACAACAGTGATTGGAACATGAAAGTGATGTTCACTGTCGATTTTCCATAACAATACACTTAATAGAAGTAAGACTCCCATATCTCGCTAATGGCCTCGAGAGTGCATTTGTCACTGGTAGTGTAATGATGGAGAAGAGTTAATAACATTACTAAACAATGGCGGTACGAGTAACAAACGATCAACTTAGAGCGGGCCTTGCTTGTCCTGGGAGACAGGCGATGTGCACAGCTGATACAGATTTGAGTTTGCATGAAACATTTTCAAAGCAGTGTTTTTGCGTGTGCATTTGACATGAGAGATTCCGAGAATGAATCAATCGAATACAACATTATTTCGGTAGATTTTTGATATTAATTTAAAGTGATGTTATCAAATAAGATTCTAAATGGTCTTTTTTTTCTCCAACATCAAATTTAATAATGACATAGACTAATAAAAAATTAACAATTTTTAAAAATGTTTTCAGAAAGACCGTCACAAATATTTCAATTTAATCTGAATTAACACCACCTTTAAACGTTTTTCAATATTTACGCACTTATTTTCCCCCTCAACAGCATGTTTCCCTAGTTTCCCTAGAAACTAACAGTGTCCGTAAAATATAGAAATGCCATGATTAATTAATTCCTACACACATATCAGTGATTTTCTTTGACAATGAACAGTGTTAATCGCCTAGTGTACTAATCTGTTGTTCCATTACCGGAGATTCAGTCCTGATATTTCTGTTTATTTTATAAGTCGTGTATTTTATTGAGATAAGAATAATGACACGTTGGCTGTATAAAACATAAAGATACGGTAAAAAAGGAGAATAAAATGCTAACATGACGGGGAAGTGAAAGTGGGATGATAAAGCGCCGGAGGGATAATGAGATCGGTTAGAATCTAACCACAGGTAGATAACAAATTGGGAGTATCAACTAAACCTTCGACTGTGTAGGGCAGGCTGGCATTATCTTCAACGAGGATGTGCCGCGGACGGACTGGGCAAATTAACAGATTCATAATGTTTTATTTGTCTGATAAAATCATTATTCTGTGATAGAAATGACAGAAATATGAACCCGAAGATGAAACATGTCTGGTGATAATTGTGCCGAAGAAACAATCAATATTGTTCCGCAAACAAAACATTACAGTTGCAATATGTTGTCGGGCGAACAATCCCCATATATCTGCTAAAGGTCCCCCTCCCGGGAATCAGATAACACGGGATACAGCATCCAGCGCCGTGCCCACTGTGTTGATATCGAAATCAGATCTCTTATTCCCATATTCAATTTAATCTATCTTGTCTGAAAGGTCCCCTGAATAATTGGCCTCGGAGGAGTTTTAATAGAGTAACGGACCAGAGTATCGGTAATCTTTGATCAGTAATTGTTAGAGTTTAATTGCTTCATTTGTAAGCCAATGCAGAGATTCCATTCGCTTTCACCAATCATCACTACCAATATGTGTCGTTTCTTCAATCGAATCATTTTAATTCTCATTTTGTATAAAAATATATCGGATCAAATAAAATTGGACAAGACATTGGCATCCAGCTCCCATGGCCCTGTTACGTAATATAATAGAACATAAACTTTTATAACGAAAACAGTTTGCGGTGTATTAACAGATTAATAAAGATTTTGGATAGCATTTCACAACTTCGATATCATTATGCGGAGAGGATCAGTGTATATGAAACGAAGTTGGACGAGTAAATTTAGTATCTATTTATTTTTATATTTGTTTATAAACCGCTAGGTTTGAGGAGTTTTGCTAATTGAAATGGCAGGTACTACCTATTTAGAGTAAACTTAGAGTTTGAATATAGTATTTAGACGTAGTAACATATCCAATGCTTGCACTACCGTAGTGAACGCATGTGACAGATAGACATTGTTAGATCGGAACCTGGATCTTGTTGCAAAATAATTGACACTAAGGTCTTGCGGAACCGTATGTCTTAAGATTCACCCTCTCCAATGATCTGTGCTATAGATTCCATTCGGTGTTTGTTTGCGCGGTAATATGATAATTTTCAAGCTGTTTACCTCTCTATTGGTATATAACAACTAAATCGGAGAAAAACTCATAAACACCTATTGAAATGCTACAATGCTTTGCTATCGTGTCCATCAGTCTGGCTGAATGCCATCACGGTATTAGAGGGCGGTATCAATACTTCGGAGAGCAGTTATTTGAGACGGTTAGAGGTCCGTTTATAACAAAATGTGAACATAAGAAAAACAGGCATTTGTAGTCGTTACAAGAAACAGTCGTCCTGTCTTAAGCATTCGAACGTTGCGTGTTACGTTGTATAAATCATACACATAACATTATGTAGATGTTGATCACGTGGTATTTCGAGTGTAATTTACATCAAAGGAAATAAAAATTATCACAAAATAAGATAAAAACACGTCATGATTTTTTGACTATATATCACATGCCTCTTTCTGTTATCTCATTTTTGTGGTGAATACTGTGTTTACATTCCGTCCGTACAACTAAAACTTCAGATGTCATTATCAAAAAAGTGTGGTTTCTTTATTTTTTGAAACAAATTATTGAATTCCTGTTGTATATATATATTCATGCCTTATTTCCGATAGCTCTTATTTTCTGATGACTTGTAATTCTAATAATTGCAGGCGGTGACTACTATAACACGGCTGTGCCCTACACCCAATACAACGCAGTAGGAACACCCTACACCACAGACCCGGCATGGACAATGAGATACGGACCTGGCGGAATACTCAGTAAGATGTTTTTAATGTCTTTGTCTCATTACTTTCACGTTTTCAGGACGAATTTTAAGCAATCATGTTTATATACTACACAAATATGCTCAGCTAGTATAATAATTTCAATTCGTTTTGTCACATCAAACTCGAGTGGAATTGTTGCTAATTTACCGATCAAATCCTGCACGACCATAATGCGCATCTAAAGTGAAAAAAGAATAAAAAAACTGAATGCTGCCAATATCAAGATCATATCAGCTTCATCTTGATAAGATAATTCACGTAAGAAATGCCCTACCCTGGAACTGGTTTCGAGTATTTGATTTTTGTACCTCATAATTTATGTTGAATTATCAGAATGGCATATACTTAACAATGAATTTGTTTTGATGTTTAGATACTCCAGCGTACTATTACCCGCCAGGTGTGGCAGGAGGACGAACCGAGTCTAACACAACAGTGGCAACGGCGGCAGCAGCGGCGGCAGCCAGTCCCTCCAAGACGTAAGCCACCCCTAACAGCGGCACAGATCGGCCATGAAGACGAGATGTGATATATCCATTAAACATTTCCATGTGAACGTTTCCTTTAATGGCGGTGAAACTTTGGTGTATGTTGATAAAGAATGAAAGAAACTTGGAGTGCATCATGTGATCTCTTACTACGTACATTATCGTATGGATGGATATGTTCTATGGACACGTGTAATACACGTGGTATGTGGACAGACGGTCAATTCATTGGAAACATGCATACCTCAGCCCCGTTTATTTTAGTTTTTATGCAAAACGAAACAAGACTTACTCGTTGGTGTCATACACATAGCTCCAATGTGTGTAATATTCCACATCTGGTTGATACCGACCAGCTTTCTAACACTGTCTGGTTGATTGATCGGCTATGTACCACAGTTTGGTTGATACTGACCGGATATGTATTGCAGTTTGGTTGATACTGACCAGATTTGTACCACTGTTTTGTTGATACTGACCGGATATGTGTCACAGTCTGGTTAATACTGACCGGATATGTGTCACAGTCTGGTTGATACTGACTAGTTATATACCAATGTTTGCATTGTATTTACTCCTACATAATTATGATATTTGTTTTCATGTGAGCGCTGGATGGTGTATTTTATGGGTGATAAGAGAGTTTCGTTCTTGTGTGTCGTGATGTTGTGATGAGAATATATGCCAGACAAAATGTATTTAATTCGAATAGAGATAGTATATAATAAAGATATATTTCTGTATGATCTTGGCATCTTGTTCAATGAAAGGAGACCCGAGCACTTCGGGAACAGACCGATATGTTCAGCATAATTATTTTATTTTATTATTATTATTGTTTAAAAACAAATAGACAAAGAATATGTAATACAAGGTGCGCCTGCTTTAAATGCGACTGTTATATCATTCTGATAAATTTTGACTGTGGATAAACTTTTTTTCGTAACAAAATATGTAATTGAACAAAAAGCTCATATCCGTTTGACATCCAGGTTTTTAGATTAACTTTTCGCTTATACACGTCGATAATAATATTTTTGTTACTTGTTTTATTAAAATCATTTTATAATTATGTCGTAAATTGAGAGGATGGTTAGACATCTCGGAGCATAATAACGATATAGTTGATCACCGTGTAGTGCTGCTGTTTCAGTTCACATGGATCTGATGGGTTATCATGGCAGTCGAAGATTTACTCCCGCCATCGCTGTGCCATATACTACTTTATCATTTTTTATCCAATTTCCATGGTCTTTTTGAAGCAATCAATTCATGTAATATGATTTTAATGTCAATGTGAAATCACGATGATTTTTTTGCTTGAATTTATTAAGACATAAACAAAATAGATTAAATCACTTCGTCACTGAGCCGTCACTGACAACAACTATGAAATACGGGTTTATGTAAACGGAATGCCTTCAGTCCACTTGTTTTAGCTTTAACCCCTCGGATTCTTTAATGTTTCATCAATGACTTTAAGTTACTATGGATTAAAACGTAGTGTAATAGACGCCGTTTCCTTAGTAGATTAAAATTTCTCCAATTTCAGTGTCACTCTTTTGTTAAAATTCCACTACATTGTAGGTTTTTCTTGCCAATGTTATGAAAATTTGCTCAACTATTTCATTGTTTCATTTTTGGAAAAAAAACATTAATTATCATCTGCAAATGTAGCTTTCCCTTGTTTTTACCAGGGATTTTTATCTTCCATTGCAAATTTCATAACAGATATTACTGATGACAGTTTCCATTTGTCTACTCAATAAATAGAAAATCCATGTCACGTGATTTGTATTAGTCATGTGACTGTTTTTTGTCTTGCCAGATGATGTCATGGCGGTACTTATATATGCTCATTGTTGTGTTCTGAATGGAGACATGGTCTTCATGTTATACGTTTTTATGAAATTGTGACTAACCTAGTTTTTAGAAATCCCTAATATAGCACTAATAGACAATATTGTATATGGTTAAGTGCTAGCTTTCTATATAATGTGTATTTTATTGTAAATATATAATTCAGGGTATATGCTTACTGCATTGTTCTGAGCAAAACCCTCGTCGATATTTTTAATGGATGCAATAGAATGTGAGGGATGAATCTCTGTGAAAGTTAACGTTATGTTGCATCAATGAAACATGTAAACATATTTTCATTTATCGGTCGTCAACGCGATACATTTTATCAAATACATTATTATATCCATACATAGTTAAATACACACGATTTTTGACATCCTTCAGTGTTTGCCAATAAACTTTTGTTACCTTTACTATGGTGGAGTTTCAGCTGTGACTTGTTTGTCCATTGTTTAATAATATATGTTAAACGATTTAAAAACTTTATTGCTGACCACAACGTTATTTGTGCTATTTTTTCACAGGTGAATGCTATGATTTTCAATAACTGGCCAACTGTTTCAAATATTGATACGATTCACACTTCGTGTGCGGAGTTTTATTTTCATTCTTGGAAAACATTTCACCGATTTCTTGAATGGTTATCAAAATTTGAACGGTATGCCAAGATTTCTCCACAATACATAGACACTGTTTAAAAAAATCGAGGATTGAAGAGTGCAAATGGTTAAGTTAGTGAATTATATGAGAAAATTGGAATAGTGACGTGAAAATGAAACTTATTATATCTCAAAATCGACGAAATTAACAAAACCTGGGCGGAAAAAACATCGTCGGTAAAGGACAAGGAAAAGACCAGGGGGTTTGAAAGGAAAACTGTCCTCTGCTGCTTCAACACCTGTCATGTGTATCCAGGTCAAATCCATGTAATGTCATAGTCTTAAAATAAGAAAAGCTGTTTGTGACATAGAAACAGACATGCATGCTTACGATCAAAAACTTCGAAAACAGTTATCTTTATATCGCACAGGGAATTTTGTGAGTTCATCGAAGCGACTGTAACATTTCTTGGTCGTCTGCATAAACCTCTTAATAATGCAGGTGTCTGTAGTTGTCACTCAATATCAAGTCGACGTATGTGTTAGAAGAAGGTTTGTCGCTATAGGTATTTGGATTGAGAAACCATCCTTCCCTTGATTCAGCTAAGGTAGCTTTCTCTGGTCATGTTGTTTATAGACATCCTGATGTAGAAAATTATACAATGTCCTTGCTTTCAAGTTAAGGAGGATTAATACGAAAGAGATGGTTTGACGACACGTAAGTGTTATTTCTAAAAAGCATTTGAGTGAATTGCTAAATGAGACAAAATTTGATAATTAAATCTAAATTTCATTTTTTTAGGAAAATAAAAAATTGATGGAGTTACCTCTGTTAATATAGCAGTTTTTCACTTAAATATATTCAATTGGACTCAATTGTTAGGCAATATCGAATGAATCAACTGCTGATGTGCAAAAGGCATATTATCCTAGCATAAACAGCCTGTTTTTGACACCATTGGGTTATGATTACGACGACTGTGAACGTAAAACTTCCAAATTAGAAAGTATTACATCAATACAAAGGTATTTGCACAATATGTTTACCGTACACAAAGCCGAGGATTAGAATTAGTAACAACCACTTAATGCAAGTCTCGGGTCAACCTTCTTTCATACGTCATCCAAATGGCTCATCATTTTAGTCTTCGTTTAGTACTCTCTTTCCTATTTTATTACATGATGTAAAATGTTGCTGTTGAAATATTTAGTGTTCATCAATTTGTGTGGATCTCGGGCAAATGGTAAGGTTTTATATGTAATAAGGGTAAAAGAGAAATGAATCGGGTATTTAGATAGAAAGTATTGGTGGTTTCAACGTCAAATAAAAACAATCAATCGGTTTCTTCCTGTTTCGCCGACAATGTAAAAGATGTGATGCTTTCCTGTCATACCGAGGATGGAGTGATGAGAATGTATAAGAAAGAGTTTCCCCTTCTTGATTCGCAGAGAACGAATGCAGTGGAGTGATATCAGTGTTCCCTGATTCGCCGACAGTGTGACACTGCATGTTGTGGTGTTCTCTCCAAGTGAAGTAATTGGAGGTAGTGTTCGTATGTAACAGTAAACTTTATAAAAGTTCAATAACTCCATTCTATATCAGCCATCCGCCAATTAATGTATGGCTGCATACACCATATAATTAGTTAAAAATATAGATAATTGACGTTGCATTGTAAAATATAGTTTAAACATACATACAAAAACGATGATTGATAAACAGAAGATATCAGGAATCGAAATAAAGATGGAAACCTGGAAACATTTTGCGTCCGAAATATTACTTTTTAGGCTATATACCTCGAAAAAGTGATGTTTAGACGAACAAATTCGTCTATTTTGTCACACAGTGCTGAGATTTTCGCTTTCGAAACAACATGACACATCTGTTTGGAATTTTATTTTACAATCAAGATCATAATTTGCATTTTATCTACATATTTTTTTTTATCATAAAGTTTCAAAAATAAACAGGCGATATTGATAGATACAATTTCATAAAAGAAATTTTAATTAAATTTGAAACATCAAAGGCATTGATTAAAAATAGTAAACTATACACTAAATCCGAAGTAGCATATTTTAATTGGATTTAAATTAACTTGATACACTTAAGCGTTACCAGTGGTAATTTTAAAGCAGTAAAATAGTTTAACTTTAACATACATTTCATCTTACTTAAAAATACAAACCCATAGACAAAAGGAACAGTGAAATAATGTAGAAGTGTCCACGATAGACGTATTTAAACTAGGCTGCGGAAAAAAATATTCAGTGATATTGAGTAAGTCCTTGGGCGATTTGGGTAACGTAACGCTTCCTGAATGTCAGGTTGACATGTCGTGTATGTAGATATTTCAAAATATAAAAATATAAAGAATTTACTTTGCTATTTCGAGAAAAAGAATTGACAAAAGATTAATCTTCAAAGGATTGTACAAATATTCACACCATCCTTCAATGCTAATTTAAATATAACATATGGTAAATAGAGAGAAAAACTGCAATTATATGTGCTTAGAGTAAAATTACA